GGGCATTTTGTTAATTTTTCTTGTGAGCAGGATAACTTTTGTATGTGTGGATGGAAGTTAATGAAATTTGATAGGCATGTTACTGTGATGGTCTCCAAGATTGAGTTCAAAGATGAGAGTCGTGGAGGTCGTTATGTCCCCGTAATAGGACCTTTTGTGTTTAGAAATCCCCACCTACATCTGCTTGGAGACAGCCGACAGCTGGATATAGCCGGGGAACCCCATAATGGGATGGGATCAGATGACGTTACATTGAGGGATTGTACTATAACTTCAGCAGGGGGAGGATAGGTTGGACATATGTCAGGTTATTTTCTTCGGCCGGCCACACCAAGTAATTGCTATGGATGACGTCCACTGGAGACCTTAAATCTAATTACCTTGAATTTAAGGCAAGCGCGCAATAAAAACACGAAGGGCCGAAAAACGAGATGCTTAGATTTGGAATATACTAACTGTAGAAGTACAAATGTTAGGACACAAAGAACACAAGAAACAAGTCTTCTATTTGTCATAAAGACAAATTAACAAAACAGCAGTAGTCACCCCGTTCTGATTCTTTCCTTTATAACATCTACTCTTATTATATTTTGCGGCGCTGTTGTGACACTTTCAACACAGTAAGAATTTCTTGAACGTTTTTTTTCCAGTAACAGTCCAAACTCAAATAACGTAGGGGGGGGGGGGCTAACACGGATGACGACGCATCTGTATAATCTGCGGCTAACCGTTTCAGGGTGTTCTGTACCATAAAAGTAGTACAGAGATTCTTTTGTTCTTTAGACCAAATTGATTGTTAAAAAGAGTGAAGAATACGCATGTTAATTTCTCTAGAACGATGTACCTCTGACGAAGACATGAGATCTCCGACCTCTAGTTCTATGTAATTTCGCTGTGTGTAGGTGTGTACACTTTCATAGTGTGTTTGCACTCAGGTGACTCAGCAAACAAGGCGGCCGCTAAACGACACATACCACGGTCATTATCAAAAATGTTCTGAATAGTTCTACCTCAATGCTTGTCTGCCTTTTTGTACTTGCAGGTAAAGCTCTACACTGAAAATCCATAGTCTGTGCCTTAAAAATACAGTTTGCTGCGGTTACTGATTTCCCGTGCAAATACAGTACATATGTACTCGTCAAGGTCAATAGTGTAGCTTTGTAACAAAATATTAACTGTGTTCAGATAACATTGTACTGACTCTTCCGTTCTGTGAACTCATCAAACTTTTGACTGTTTGTGTGATCAGTAGATGTTGACTGTGTGTTATTCCACTATATGTGTACTGATGATGTTTAATAAGTCATAATCAAGGAAGTAAGGAAAATAGAAATATCACTGTCGACAGTGTGAAGGATTTTTGCCCACGCATGTGCACTTTGCCTTCTTCTGATAACGCATTGCTTCACTAATCTGGCGGCAGATATGTTGGTGGCTGTAAGACAGCATTATTGGCATTGCAGTATCCAACACACCGCCAAAGCTGGCGAATAAAAGACACCAGTGCAAAAATGAAAGCACAATAAAAACGGCTAAAACATGGCCTATATATCTGCTTGGAGAGTATTGCCACACCAGGTAATGGGTTTCAATCTACATGTATTACAAAGCCCGCTTTACGTAAATGGAATGTCATACCATGTACAGCCATCAACTTCCCCTGCAAAGAAGACAAATGGGCAAGAATCTTATATACCATCATATGTTGTTATTTTTCAGTTGGAAACTTTCATGTATAATTCGGCACAAAGAGTACTCCGCACCGTGTACATAATTTCAATTTTAGTATAACCTCATGTACGACCTTGTATTAAAACAGTAACTTACATGTAACTGGTGACGGAATCAGCTTGAAAGGATAGGATGTATACACAAGGGATAGCGAAACTAAGGGATGAATTATCTAATTGCTAATTACCATTTTGAAGAAGAGTTTTACTTTGAGATGTATTTCAAGCATATCGAGATGTAACAGCCATACGCTGAAAGATTGTATGATTGCTATTATATTGCTTACACATCTTTTCAAGCTATGAAAATCCAGATTGCTCAGAGCTAGCACCAACACCATGTAAGCCTACGATTGCCTTCACAAACTTGTTAACACAGGACGCCAAAGAGGAAGAGACAAACGGTGAAGAGTCTGATTCAACCCGTGAGAGGAGACGGTCGTGGCCTCTTAGCCTGTTCCAGAAGCCCATACCCCGCCAGTACAGCCAGGAGAGAATCGGGCCCTACGCGCTGTACGATCCCCGGAGTCTAACCTACTCCACCGAGACTATTAACGCGGGTTACGCTAGCAATGCCGTCACAAATCCAGCATTCGTCATGGAATCACCCACCTAAATAAGCTTGTCAAGACACTTCTGTTGGTAGCAAATTCTATTAGTTGTACATGTATATATACCGTTTCTATGTTATCAAAGATATTTCAAATAAAAATGTGGATTGATAACTATATTGTATATTTTGATACACAGAAAAGAATATAATTATTTTGCGGGTTTGTTAAATATATTTGTAATTTGAGGAGTATGGAGTTTGTTGTTAAACTGTAACAAAATTTCTTTAAAAAATTATTGGTACATAAGGAGTAGTATTGTTAAGTTGTCCAGTATTTGATGAATTTGATTTTAATTTTGTATCACTGGTTTTCAATTGATCAACGAAACATAATATCAGAATTCATGGAGAACAAAGTATACCGCATATAACGTCACTAGTTTCACTAGGAATATGTGTAACGTTATATTCAGCACTAGTGAAATCCGTACATATGTATATTATGGTAACTCATCAACATTAAACCGACATTGCCACTAAACACCGAGTACCATGCCTCATTCATTCGTGCATACTGTCTGTTTCTCTTCTGCATGTATTGTGGGTTATTCTTCAGGAGCAAGTTCATGTATCAATGAACAAATAAATATTTATATATCTATGTACGTGTGTCTTGTGATTCATCTATTAAATCCGTTCACTTGTTGTTGTTTTTGAACGAGACCCGCATTGCACTATCAGCGATTCTTCTAATAGAGATCCGATCGGAGTCTTTGTCGACAGAAATTCTTATAGAATTATACTGTTAATGTTTTAGGGTGGTTTTCCGTTTACAAATCCTAGATTTCAAGTCAATCCATTGATCTAAATTGACATGAAACAAAGTTGAAAAGTTCTGTCTTTTACTAAGACAATCAAATACTGCTCACTACCATTTAAAATTCTGCTCGATGTTTTACCCGTTTGAATATCGCGGTACGGTACCTAGCTGACGTCATGCCGCGGCGACGTCCCACCTTTAACCCCGTACGTCTTACGGTTGATGTAACACCTTGATCACGTGACGAGACGCCAGGTAAACAGTGCTGTAATGGTGCTGCTGTAGCGGCCGCCCTGCCGTCGGTCTGTCACGTCATCCTACTTCAACCTTAAGCGGACATTCTGACGGGGAAACATCGCTACGTGAGCCATGGTGGCGCTACCTTTTGCCGAGCCGTAATGTCGGCGGTTCCCCTGACGCACCGAGTCACAACAACCGTTTCCCCCACCCGCAAACTGTGACGTGTAGCGTGGCGATCAGCTGATAGCCATGTCTTGGGACCCGGGTGCGGATTCTCTGGACCTCGAACTCAACCCTTACGGACACAACCTCGTCTTTTCCAGCAGGTCAGACGCGTTCGTTCTCAGCGATGTAGTGTGTGTCCACGTATCGTGTATCGATTTCTTTCGCCATATTAGTTGAAATATGATCGTAGGTGCTACTCCAGAGGTGTTGGTCTACCACGGGAATTAAGGGTGATTTACCGTGTAATCACTGTTTTTAATGGGAGGTTTAGATAGCAATCAACCCTGCCATGCCTACAATCCACAGGTACTATCAACTGCTGGGCAAGAGAAAGGGTCTGCCCATCTATGCGTGCAAAGAAGTCTTCATGACAGCTATGAGGAAATCACAGGTTGTGTTGGTAGAAGGGAAAGTTGGTTCCGGCAAAACAACACAGGTGAGACCACAATTCTCGAATGTGTTACCAAGAACAGGCATTCACCATAGCCTACCGGTTTATCATACAACAGAACCAAAGTAACAAAGAAAGCTACAGGGGACATGTAAGCCAGTAAGAGTGCACCAGTGTGAGAGGGGCAAAGTCCCGTATTAGTGAACAAACAGGTGGCATGACGTGGCTTTAATGAGAGAACATAATAGCCTCGGTCGGACGGCCCAGCAACAGACAAGCCCTTTAACTAAGCCACTACTGTTTCTGTCAATCCAAATTTACCGGGTATAATAACATTGTTGGAAGTTATATGCCGCGGGGACTGTGTTTTTACGAGTTTTGCTGTAAAAATTGCTTGTTTTTCTGTGGTTAAACTTTAACCCCCGACGGGAGTGTGATTCTAATGACCGTTAGAATCCTCACAACAAAAGGAACAAACCAGGTCAGATGACACGAGTGGCTTAGGTCACACCGCGTCTTTGTGATGAAAAAAGTATTGTGTTTCCCGGACTGATGTTGTGGGATACACACGCGTGAATAGCCTCACCATTTCCAATTAAAAAAATGAAAACCAAAACAAGAAAAACTAGACTGTACGGCCGATTGTAGAAGGATTGTAATAGACACATTTCTTCGAAAAACTTACAGTCAGACTCAGAGGTACCTTTATTTTTCATCCCATAGTTTATATGAATGAAAAATCTATTTCTAGGAAAGAGGTGTATTTTTGCATGGTAGTTGCTTACTCCATTAAATATAAAATTGTGTTGGATGAATATCAAATTGAAAATCAACAAAAATTAATTTGCTGCACTATCACTTACCAAACTTACCTTGATCCTTTAGTGTGCGCTATATATAAACAAACCTTTTCTGGTGCTTTTGCTGTTCTCAGGACTGATCTCAACCAAAGCTAGGGATTTATGCTAGCCTTGCTTATGCCTCCATGTAGTCAAACCAGTCTAAATGACCTTTAAACTGCCAACCAGATCAGTAATAATGTTAGCTGTCTAGGTCTATTCCATTTAGAACAAAAAGGACACCAATTAAAACATCCTACCCTTTCTCATGTTGACACAATAATCACCTCTTAGTTACATACCAACACCTGTGAGTGTACTAATATATAGAAAAGTGTATAAAGATTGACATAAAGAATAATGTCGACTTCTGAACATTACAACTGTTGCTTGCTTACTGTTTTGTCATGGAAACACCTGTTTCCTAAATCCTCTTAAGTTAGCTATGACATGAAAGATTGCAGTGAATGTAGTGACAAATCTGCATGCAAATCAAACAATCAATGCATTAACAATGACACAAAATATCAACAAAGCATCACACTGTACACTCCAACATTGTGTTGTGTAAAGCTTCCATGTTGTGTTGTGTGAGAGCTTACCCACCTGTTGAACCATTGGGCAAAGGTTTATGACCTTGACAATTTGTCAGCAAACAAAACCTGTACAGGACTCTTATTGTGCTGCTGAAACAATCTTATGGGGAAGGGTGACTACTGTGCTCAGCCTCTCAAGTTTTTTTTTCTAGCACCTGAAGGAGACTTCTTTAGATTGTTGGACAACTTCACTGGAAATGAAATACTTACTGTCCAAAACTGTCCTCTTATCTGGACAACAGCCTGACACTAGTACTCCCTTAACGTGATTTGCTTGTTTTTACACGTGTATTTTCTATGAACCTTACATTACATTATACAGTACATAGACATGGTGGCACTTAGGGTGATTCATCCGCTTGATTGTGTAAAGCATATTACAAAAGTACTCTTTCCCGCAAATTGTATTATCCTATTTCCTAGTGTTACCATAAAAGTCAAAGATGTGCAGTTCCCCCAGATGTTTCTACAGTAAAAGTTTACTCCTCCCTCCCTCCTACATTTGTAGATACCGCAATGGTGTGCAGAGTTTGTTCACGCCCACCAGTACCAGAGCGGGATCGTGGGCTGTGCGGAGCCGGCAGACCTGGTGACGTGTTCCGTGGCGCAGCGTGTGGCGGATGAGATGGACCTGGTGTTTGGGGAGGAGGTGGGGTACTGCACGGCACTGGAGGACTTCAGCACACAGGAGACCATCCTCAGGTGAGGGAACTGCCTTGTGAGACCAACAAATGCTGCTTTCAACTGGCAGTGGGGCATTATTGGCAGAACATGCACCAAAAATGGCAACAGGGGGTGAGGATGATCATACAAACAGGCAGTGCTTTCCATGTCCACTACAGTTGTCCACCTCATCTGTCATCTGTAGCAACTTATACCTGGATGCCATCTTTTCTGGCTTTAGTATGCTCTCTCAATTGCATCAAGACAGCAACAACTTCTATTTTCATGTATATTACTTGGTTAACTGTATTTATGGTCAAGATATGGTTAAATATATCTCTGTGTGTTCTTCAACTCTTCTCAGATTTGTCAACGACAGCGTACTTCTGCGGGAAATCGCTGTCGACCCTCTCCTGGAGCGTTACGGCGTCATCATCCTGGACGAGGTGCAGAGACGAACAGTTGCCACAGACTTGACCATGGCCTTGCTCGGGGACATCCTGAGTCAAAGGTCAGACATGAGAGTGGTGGTCGTCACCACGTCCATACAGGCAGGGAACTTTCAGTCCTACATCGGGGCGTGCGAGGTGGTGAAGGTCCCGGGTGCGGGGGACAGCACGACGGAGATTCATCACACGCAGGATGTGGTGCACGATGGGAAATGTGTGGAGGAGGCTGTGAAGAGAGTGACTGAGATCCACGCAAACGACGGTGACAACGGAGACATCTTGGTCTTCCTGGCAGATGAAAAGGTGAAATTTCCGTTGATGATAGCAATGGAGTTCATGAGTACCAGCTGTTATAAGTTGGTTAGTCTTTGCTACCCAGGTCTTTCAGAATGCAGTGTATGTGTATGTGTATGTGTAGAAGATCTCTGTAGATCCAGTGAAAACTGACCAAAGAAGACCACTCAATGGCCTGATAAAATCTGGTCTATGTGAACAGACAGTCAGTATGGAAAAAATTACATAAGGGACCACCAGGTGGTCCTTTACATTTCTCCACTGGTGATGGTACAAACTTCATATATTCCAATTCCCATTCCACAGGAGGTCCAGGAAGCCTGCAAGAGACTGAGAGAAGTCGACGACCTGCCGGCTCCTCTGCACATCATCCCTGTGTTCCCCTCCCTCTCCCACAACCAGCTGCAGGGCCTGTACGACGTGCCAGACGAGGAGCCAGAACCGACGGACAAGGGGCTCGACGAACCCCTCAGGGACGAGGACACGCCAGAAGACGTTGTGGAGAATGATGGGAGTGACACAGAGGAGTCTGGGACTGATGGTGACGATGACGATGATGACACGATAAGCGGAGAAAGGCCGAGAAAAGTCATTGTAGCTACAGACATTGCCGACTCCTGTCTGGTTGTGGACACGGTCGGGTTTGTTGTGGACAGTGGACGAGTCCGACAAGAGGTTAGCACGAACCATGTCCATAACATTGAGCATACATTCACTAGTCTGTTAAAAGTTCTTCAAAAGACACAGAAAAGAGTACACTGTAAAGGGATCATTTTTAGTGGAGCATTGGTACACATATCTCTTAAAAAAGATACATGTGACTGCCTATAAAAATAGGCAGAGTGGAACTCGATGCCACCAGGTACAGTAAAGACATCATCACCAGATAGCTTTAAACAATGTTTAGAGTTACATGTAGATGTGCAAAGGCCAAGTGTAAGAAGTTATTCAGCATACTATAGCCAGCTGCTGGTGTGTCATGTGCCTACAAACCTGGTGTGTTATGCCAAGGGGTGGTTATACTGACTATATACTGTCAAGTACAGATAAAATACATCCTGCAAAGTGCAACAGAGAGGGGAAGTTTTTTTAATATTGCCATTTGTGTATTCAGGTGTTCAACGCCCGTGTCCGAGCCACCCAGGACCTGGTCAGCCTGATCAGCAGACTCAGTGCTGACCAGCGGGCTGACCTGGCCAGTCTGCGGCCGGGGAGACCTGGGAAGTGCTTCAGACTGTATCCTCAGGATTTCATGGAGGTAAGCTTCCTTCAGTGGGCTTTACAAACTTTACTTTTATATCACAAACGTCTAGGTTGCATACTGGATTGGATTGGAATCTTTACATAACCTTCTTATTTTAAAGAATAGTCGTGGGACATCATGTTCTGGGGTGATCTATGAGAAAAGTTGATTCTGTACATACTAGTACATGTTAGCCATTATAGTTGTAGTAAGAACTACTAAGATACCACACACTCACATCACTGAGATTGTACCTAGCCCTAGAATTGCTTTACCAGTATCGCCATGACCTACACATACATAGTAAGATCATAAACATACAGTAAAGGTCTTTCATTCATTCATTGAGATGATTAAAGAATTGATGACTGTCCCTTCATATCTGCTGCCAGTGATTGTGCTCCATACTTATCATCCTTCTGTCCTCCCTTCTTCTTTCTTTCTTTCCCCTTTTTCATGCACCTCATTCCCTTAGTTTGTATTCTCGTTCTTGATAGCTTATCCCCATTTTCTGTTTTGTCACAAACCACATATACTACTACGGTCTAGGACCTTGCAGCGTTTCCGAACCCTGAGATCCACCGCGTGAATCTGACGCCGTGGATCCTGCTGCTGAAGAGACTCGGGGTGGAGGACCTGCTCAAGTTTGACTTTCCCGACCCACCAGGTAATGTGTGTAAAATCTGATAACATAAGTCTGCCAGGTTACATGTACCTGCCATCCTGAAAAAATGTCTGAGCAATCTCCAACGCAATGTATAACATATGCTCTTGTATATCTAAACTTTGCATACCTGGGGGGTGCTGTGCTAGACATACAGTACATACAGATCTCAAACATACAGTTTTTCAAAGTGGTGGATCGGTGGAACCAGGCAGGTAAAGTGACTGGAGGTTCACAGTTTCTTAGTCCTTCTGAGAAACTCAAAATCATCTGCTACAGAATTATGCATGCAAAGTCAAAGCAGCCTAGATTCAGAGTACTAAATATGAAGAAACTGAAAACTTACTATGAAGACCCTATCCATGTGCAAGTTCCTTTGGTCATTGAGAAATTGAATGTTAATAACTGTACCGGTAATATTTTCTTTGCCAAGTTTTGTAATCATAAACAGAAAGTTTTGTAACATGGCAAAGTGAATCTAAGACCATTTTTAGTGGAACAGATGCTTTCACAAAGTGAGCATTGCATGGTAGATACCAGCAGCTTCATTACAATCGGAACTGTTGTTAGCATGGTAAAATAATATAGGGATAGTCACTTAATCACCTTGTACATGCCTCCAACAGCTACAGAGTTCTTGAGTGGAGCGATGAACCAGCTGAAGCACCTGGATGCGGTGGACGAGACCGGGTGCCTGACGGACCTCGGCGCCATCATGTCGGAGTTCCCGGTGGACCCGCAGCTCGCCAGGACCATCATCGCCAGCTGCGAGTACGGCTGCTGCGAAGACATCCTCACCATAGCTGCACTGCTCACAGGTGCTTAACTCTGTTGGAGTCTTGATATAACAAGAATAGATTTTCAGACCCCCCTATCAATCAACTTTCAAAATCACCTCCCACCCACCACGTAATCGTCTTTTAGAAATTCACTTCTATGTAATTGTGACTGAAAATTGTGTGTTGTGTAATTTTAATGCAAGTATACAATTCAGCGCCCTTGGCGGCTCTACCATGTACTTGAGATTTTATGATGATTAGTAG